AAAAATTAGCCAGGCGTGGTAGCGTACGCCTGTAGTTCCAGCTACTTGGAAGGCTGAGGCGGAAGGATCACCGGAACCCAGCAGATCTAGGCTGCGTTGGCTGGGAGTGGCCACTGCACTCTAGTCTGGGCGACAGAGTGAGACTCCAACTCAAAAAAAAAAGAAAGTGGTGTGGTTGCACAACAACGAGAGTGTACTTAATGCCACTGAAATGTACACTTAAAATGGTTAAAATTTTACATTTTGTTAAGTATATTTTATCACAATTTTTATAAAAGTAAAAGCAGTATTAAAAAGTGTTAGAGATACAGCGTAAATATTAATAACTAATACCGTCATATTTCCATTATAGTATATCATTCATGTTATTTTTGTTATGATTAATGTTAAAATTAATAATAATAAATACCTATTTAGTGCTTACTATGTGCCAAGGACTATTCTATGCTTTTCACATAGAAATATAGTTTTTGTCCCTATTTTTATCAGACTACTTGCAATATAAAAGTTTGTTGGGTTTTTTTTACTTTTTGTCTGTCATATCTGTAGACAAGGTTGTCACATTCCAGGCTTTCAGACAGCCTTTTTAGTCAGCAAAAAGGAACTTTGATACAAGGCAGTCAAGATCAGTAACATGGTAGTGCCTTTACCAAATTTCATGCCAATAAAAAGCAGGTGGGGATATGATACTATCTGACATTATCTGTACATTATCCTAAGACATTGAGAAGCTGCCCAAGTATAAAACTTGGAAGTACAGATGAATTGAAGGTGGGTTAAATGTGGACCAGTAGCAAAACAAAATGAAACCATCATGTAGACTCTTTGAGCTCTTGTCATTATGCAGCATTCCCTGTGAAGTCTCATCTCTCTATTAAACTCTCCACATACAACATACTTTTTCCCATCTTATCCCTGCTCCAGTGCTGTTCTGCTTTCACCCAAGCAAGTCACAATCCTGGCTCATGGGAGTATCTTCCATAACATTTCCAAAGGTAACCCTGCTTTTAATTTGGTCACCAGCATCTATCATTTACACTTTGCAGATTAGGATATGTTTTATATCTGTGTGTGTCTCTTACCCCACCCTCAGATTATCGAGTGCACCTAGATAACTGTTGTTATTATTTTTTGACCTGGCAGACATACTGGATTCATGGGAATGGTGCAGGAGATAGAGGGAGTTGGATGGGTAAACTGCTGTCATACTAAGTACAGAGAGAGTACGGAGAATGAGTAGGTATGTCAGGGAAAGCTTACAGGGTCCTGAATTTGAGCATAAAACCCCGATACTTCCTTATCCCAATCCTCTCTTCTTTGGGGTCCCACACAGATTGCCTTCACACATGTTTAATATCCTCTTCAAATCATCTAGGTCAAATCATTTTCTCCAGAAGCTTTCCCAATCTGACTCCAGCCCATGTAGTCTACTCCTCTAATTGCCTTTTTACTTCTCAGAGCGTAATCTGTTAGGCTTAATAGGTTCAGAGTCTCCATTTGCTTCTTATGTCTTCTCTATCCAACCAGATGGTACATTTGAAGAAGCCAGAGAAGTGTGTTTTATTTCCTTTATAGATTTTCCCCAACATTGTCTATCATGGTGCTGTGTTGTACAGATAGAATGAGCTTAATACTTTTAAAAAAACAAAATGGTGAGGCAGTTAGGGCGGTTAATATTATTGTTTTTCTTTTCCTTATCAGACATAAAATACATGTATATGTTTTGGTGGAGACTGTTCCTATAAGCCAAAAATATCAAAATCTTAAGGTTCTATAGTCTCTCCCAACACAGTAAATATTTGGATGTGAAAAACTGGGCATTGACCATGTAAATGTCACTCCACCTATACTCATTTTCTCTATGTCCCACAGCTTTTCCTATCTCCGGGCTATGGGAATATAAGAACTTGAGAGAATTAGGCATTCAGAACCTTACATAAAATACTTCTCTGTTAGAAAAAAATGAGAAAAATGGTAACATGGAATTGTCAGATATTTTTAAGTATGTGTTAGGCTCATCGCATTAGGGCACTGCCAGCTGTAGAACCAAAGTTTGCTGCTCCATGAATTGTTCCTTCCTGGTCTATGCGGAATAATCAATATAAATGGTGAAACATTCATGGCTCTTGGGAGGATCTGCACTATTTGGCTAATGGGTTTCTCTGAGTTTTCCAAAATGACCCTGAATTTAATAAATGGTGATTATTCTAAAATGGGACGGGAAGTTGGCATTTATTTTCACAACTTGAAAAGATCTTAGAAAAAATTATTTTATGCTTTCTGGCCTTTCACATTTTTGTGATACATTCGTAGCCACTCTCTTCCAACTTTCGACTAGGATGACTAATAATGTTTAGGATTTTATCTGTTTGTTCTCCTTCCAAGCCATTTAACTGTGAGTCATTTAACTCCTTTCCATAGCAACTGGTTATGATATAACAAACAGTGAACTGTATCATGTCACTGAATTTTGGGGCAGCTTGTTTCACAAATATAGGTAGCCTCATTAGTGACTGTCTATCCCATGTTACTTTAAGGATGCCAAAACATTACCCAGTTGGACAATATGTACAAGATCATTCGAAGCCAAGTGCTCAGGGAAAAGAGTGATGAAGGGGGAAGTTGCTGGAGGAAGAGACAGGAGGAGCCTGAGACCACAGAGAGGACACTGAAAGAAAGCTTTAACTGCTTGCCAGTTGGGCTAGGAGTCTCTTCTAGCAGGAACAGCTGCACTTGGACCATCAGTGTCAATGCTCTGTTTTACAGGTATTAGCTTTCCCTTAGGTGAACTTATGTTTTGAAACCGTGTACCATTCAGGGTTAACTAGAATGAAGCCAGTGTTACACTTTTGGTTCTCCCATGGTTATTTTGGTTGTGTTCTGTGTCTGAGGACCACTAACCTTGATATGTACAATCAGTTTCAAGGGAAACCAGGTCAGATTCAGAAGTTCAATGGGGCTACTGGAAATGTGCTTGCCTGTTTTTTTACCCATGGGAAGTCAGAAAAATCATCGTCATATAGGAATGACAGGATATTCTAGGCACTTATTTCATATGGTAATATTGTTTTTCTCGCTACTGTCAAGAAAAACCATTTAAAAATCTTCTTTGTTTCTGTTGCTCTTAAATCAGTTATTCTAAAAAAATGTAGAAATAAAAGTTATTCAGGTCTATAAAAGATTTTTAAAAGTAATATCTATTTTATTAATGTGTATAGGATTTGAAAGAGCTGCAATGAAGCACACTAACCACATGAATCTTACTTTGTAGCATTTTTAATCATTGTGAAAGATATGCCATTTTCTTGTTGGTTCTTAATCTATTTTAATTAATATTGAAATTAGTGCAGAAAAATAGCCACCATCTCACTTAATGGTAAGGAGTTACCTTATACAAGCTTCTCATATAAAATTTTATTCTATAATAGAAAAAGGAGAAATAGTAGAAAATTGTTAACATTTAAAATAGCCATAAAATACACTGCCCATTCTAAAGAGTCTCTTGTCTTTTTTAATATTCAATTCTAGTAGATATCACAGCCAAAGAGTTCTAGGCGAAGTGCAATGCTTTGATTCCATGTTTTAGGAATGATACGGATAAACCTGGACATGATTGGGGGATTGAAAAAGTTTTTCACATGTCCTCTGGTATTACTGTTTCCTTCGAAAATCTGGAAGAAAAATATGAGAAAATCTTTAATGATGGTATAAAAACCTTACAGGTAATATTTTTTCCTTTAGCTCAAACTGTGGGCATCAAAGAACACATACACCACGATCACAGAATGATCTCAGTTACTTGTGAAGTCACATGCCAGACAGTCTCCTTTAGGGATTTCAGCTCATCAGTGATCAGAGTCAAATTAAGGGACAATAAATAAGCCTGCCAGGGTTTAAGCTGTGAAGCAGCTGCGAATTCTCTGTCTTTCATCGCTTTGTAGCTGTGTGTCTTTGAACAGGTTACTTACATTCTCTGATTGTTCATTTCCTCAATGGCAAAATGGAAATAATAAAATGTTACCTCACAGAAGTTGTTGTAAAGGTTTAAAAATGCATGTAAACATGTGACAGATGCCTAGTAAGTGCCAGACAGTGGCCACCAATAAATGGTTAACTATTGCTAACATTTAAAATAAAATGTGGTCATGCATTCTTATGTATTTATTCTTGTTAGCATATTCTCTATATTCCCAACTAAACTGTTTTATGGTTTTTATTTTTTCATCCTCAGCAAGTTCCCCAGGATTTATATACAGCATAAGCGAAATCACTATTTGTTTCTGACAATGACATTTGCCCTGCTATGAGGACAACCTGGTGTAGTGAGAAGTAAACCAAATCAGACAACCTCAGACTTTAAAAAGGAGAGAGACTAAGTGCTGAGCATTTGATGAGAATTCATTACATATCTGTACCTTCTCCTGTGTTGTCTCTGCTACTGGCTTTAGGCCAGTTTTTATTCCTGGAATGCTAGGAACATCTCCTTAGCGTCACCTCTGGTAGTATTATTAAAACACATAACCAGAAAGTAGAGGAAGTAGGAATGTAACAAAGTAGCTCATTTTGCAGAAAATGTAGTCTCATATCAGTAAGGAAACCAATTGTTTTCTGTTTAATAATATTATGACACAGCAAGGTTTATGACCTTGGCTATTTGATCAGTCATGAATAACAAGTATATCTAAGGTAATGCTCATGGAGTATTTTTACACAGTGGAGGGCTTTCTGGATCCCTTCACCGTCTTCCTCAATCAGAGCGAATTAAGCCTTACAACAACCCCTGGTGCTTGTCCTCGCTATTTCTTAGGTAGGACTGTCAAAGCAGAAAGGTGATGTGCATGGTCCCTGTCCCAGGAACCTGGAGAGCTAGGATTTAGAAGACTTAAAGGAGTGGTACATGCCAGTGCATATTTGTCAAGTGCAAGGTGTTGTAATTCTCATTACAGCATAGTTTTCAAATAGCTTTCTCTATGCCAAGAGGCCACTCTACCTTATCCACCATTGAGGACTTCTGCCTGTAAGGTTTCCATTCCACTCCCTGATCACTGTAGTAGATGGTATAGCTCTTCACATACATTTCAGAGGACAGAGACTTGCAGCCCTGAGTTACAATTGCAGTTATCTTCTTGATTTTGAGTAGATCAATTTGTAACCACTGTTTGTTGTTGTTTGCCTATGAAAACAACAAAAGCACATGCATTAAGGAAGACACTAAAACTTTTGGTTTTTTAAGCCAAGATACTCAGAAATGCACAGAGCTCAAAAGGATTCTGTTTCTGCCTCATTCTCTAAGATTCATATTCTCCTAGAAGCTTTCTCTGTTTCTTCTTATATGTTGCCACAGCATGTATATACATTTCTTTCTTTCTTTTCTTAATCAATATTTTTTTATTATGATATTGTGGGGTGCAGTTAAGGGTTAGGTATACAAATATGCTTCGTTCAGGTACCCTTGTTGATAAGA